CTTAATAACAATACCACATCAATTTACAATATTTTAACTATCAAATTCCAAACCAGAAGAAAGAAACCTCTCTAGCAAACTAGGAAAAAGAAGAGTTGGGAAAGAGGTGACCACACATCCTCTTCCCGGAGCAGGCGCACCACCCTTCCTAGACCAGGTGCTAAAACTCTAAAAGGATAAGAGCTTCAGTGCTAAATTATGTATATGACGTTTCAATTTTTTCTGTTGCACTCAATTGGGCATATCTTATACTCCTAATATCTAAAAGCACCTAGTGTTTTCTTTCTATCGATTGTATAAAATTACTTTTGTTTTCCCACTGTTCAATCTTCCTTTAATACCATCTACCCTACGATAACACCATTGAAAAAAATTACTTCATCATTTTAAGATTACAGTAAATCACCCATAAATGAATCACTACTTAACAAACCACCCCACTTATTCAAACATGAGGAATACAGAGATCCAAATAAATTTTTGGTCTCAATTATAAGATCATCAATAGCAAATATTTAGTCCTAATTAATAAGATCATTCAAAAAAAGTTCTTGAACATAATTTCAGAAAATACTCTCCAAGAAACATAAGGTGTAGAGAATAATTCTGTCCTAAAACTTCAGAAAATACTCTCCAAGAAACATAAGGTGTAGAGAATAATTCTGTCCTAAAACTTCAGAAAATACTCTCCAAGAAACATAATGTGTAGAGAGTAATTCTGTTCTAAAACCACTGAAAGAACTTAGAAGATATGCTCTACATTTTTCTCTGAATGTGATCTGAAGACCGGTAGCATCATAACCACCTTGTTGTTAGGTGCTGTTGAGTCATCTCCTACTCATAGAGACCCTATGGACAAAAGAATGAAACACTGCCTGGTCCTGTGCCATCTCGCAATCCATGCTATACCTGCGCCCATCATTGCAGCCACTGTGTCAATCCATCCCGTTCAGGGCCTTCCCCATTTTCATTGACCCTCAACTTTACCAAGCATGATAACCTTCTCCAGTGAATGGTCTCTTCTGACAACATGACCAAAGTAGCTGAGACAAAGTCTGGCCATTCTCACTTCCAAGGAACTTTCCGGCTGCACTTCTTCCAGGACTGATTTGTTAGTTCTTCTGGCAATCCATAGTACTTTCAGTATTCTTCACCAACACCACAACTCAAAAGCTTCAACTCTTCTTTGGTCTTCCTTACTCACTGTCCAGCTTTCACAGGCATATAAGGTGATTGAAAATACCATGGCTTGCATCTTCATCTTCAAAGAAACACCTTTGCTCTTCAGCACTTCAAAGAGGTCTTTTGCAGCAGATGTGCCCAGACACAGGGATCCAGGTAAGGGGAGGGACCCAGGCCTCACCTCCAAGAGGCAGGAAAGCAGGGGAAAGAAAAGCTGGGGGATGACAGAGTGAGCAGTGGCAGGGATCCAGATAAGGGGAGGGCAGAAAGGTTTCAAACAGCTAAGGGTGACAAACTTGTCTGTCAGTTTGTCATACTGTAGTGGCTTGCATCTTGCTGTGAGGCTTGAGGCTGTGCCACTGTTGTTTCAAATGCTAGCAGGTTGCACATCATGCATAGGTTTCAATGTAGCTTACAGACTGAGAAAGACTAGGAAGAAGGAAGAAGCCATTCACTTCTCAAAGAACTGGCCAGGGAAAACCTATGAATAGCAGAGAAATACTGTATGATACATTACTATGCAACTTTATGAACTGACCAGAAACACTGTCCGATATAGTGCAGGAGGCCAAGCCCCTTAGGTCAGAAGGCTCTCAAAATATGACTAGGAAAGAGCTGAATCATCAGAGTAGGACCAACCTTACTAATATGGATACAGTCAAGCTTTTGAGACCTCCATTTGCTGACATGGCATGACTCAAATTGAGAAGAAATAGCTGCAAACATCTATTAATAATTGGAACATGGAACATACAAAGTATGAATCTAGGAAAATTGGAAGTTGTCAAAAATGAAATGGAATGCATCAAGATTGAAATCCTAGGCATTAGTGAGCTAAAATGGACTAGTTTTGGCCATTCTGAATCAGACAACCATATGATCTACTATGCTGGGAATGATACTTTGAAGAGGAACGGTGTGGCATTCATCATCACAAAGGATGTTTCAAGATCTGTCCTGAAATACAATGCTGTGATAGGATAATATCCATACACTTACAAGGAAGAGCAGTTAATACTACTATTATTCAAATTTATGCACCAACCACCAAAGCCAAAGATGAGGAAATTAAAGATTTTACCAACTTCTGCAGCCGAAATTGACCAAACATGCAATCAGGATGTGTTAATTATCACTGGTGACTGGAATGCAAAAGTTGGAAACAAAGAAGAATCACCAGTAGTTGGAAAATATGGCCTTGGTGACAGAAATGACGTTGGAGATCGCATGATAGAATTTTGCAGGACCAATGACTTATTCATTGCAATACCTTTTTTCAACAACACAAATGGTGGCTATACATATGGACTTCACCAGATGGAGTATACAAGAATGAGATTGACTACATCTTTGGCAAGAGATGATAGAAAAGCTCAATATCTTCAGCCAAAACAAG